TATATATATATATTACAAATGTTATGAGATATATATATTTTATGTAATGCGTTTATTGCATTTAGTGCACTGAATTCAATCTATAAACTTTGTATGTTTTGGGCATAAATCCCGCCCGCTAAAAATGCGGTATATTCCAAACAGGTGGGATACAAGACAACAAACTGAACAAAGAAAATAAGAACAAAACATTTATATTTTGCTATACAACATGCTTTACTATTCCTGTACATGTACGCATCACAAAATAACCACTAAGTCTTTTACACGCCCTATAGTATCATTTTAATCATTTTACGTAGATTATAATTTATGATGGCGCTATTATTATATATTATTACAGTGACAAATCGATTCAACTCACAATAATTTCATTAATATTAACAGTAAGAAGCTGAAATCATAATTCAATATTAATATAACATAAAGGCATATAACAGAATATTGCAGAAAAATTACCCTCACTCCTTCTATTTTTTCTGACTTCTGTGTAATTCCAACGCGGCATATTTGCGGGAGTTACCCTATTAATTTAATAGAAAAGAACGAATAAGCACACATCAAATTTAATCTTGGAGTAAATATGAAAAGTACAATATCTTCAAAAACATTTTACTAATAAAATAATGACACAAAACTGTTTAAAAATTTATATTACTTATCACTCTGTTATAATACGAAACTGATATATGACGGATTAAATTTTTAAAAATTTTTTCCCACTTGTCTCAATTTTTAGCATGATAGATTGGATCTCCTGATGATCACTAAAGACACAACTTCAACGCTCAATGCACATAAAATTTACACATGATAGCATTCTAGTGATAAAAATAAGAATATTTGATACGAAAACTGCAAACAATGCTTTACGGATACCGTAGTAATCGGTAATCGAATGAAAGCGCGATTTGTTATTTGAGATCGGATTGTCTCTTTAAAATGAAGAAAAATTTCATCCTGCGACATCACGTCTACGACATGTAAGAATGTTGTTACAGCTTTCGAAGGATGTCACGAGCATGAAGATGAAAGTGCGCACCGACGTGCAATCGCGGGAGATAGCAGCGCAACATACTAAGACGGTATTCACGCTGGAAAATCGGGTGGAGATGGCTACCAAAAGATTCAATTTGATGCTAACGGAAAATACGAAGCTGCGCGCTGAGATTGAAACCTTGCTGAACGAACGGACGCAATTCATGCAGGTGTGGAATAAGCTGATCGGCCAATTGAACACTGGTAAGCAGGTCATCAACGATCTGATCGAACAGGCGACGGTTACGTTCAATCAGCGGGACGAGGAGCTCAACAAGATCCAAGCACTTCGCGAGAGGTAGGATGCGACGCGGATTTTCCGCGTCGTTGATTGGTGCCACATCGTGAAACTCGATCTGCGCAAGCTAAAATGTTAGTGATTTACACAACATCGCTGTTGCCAATCAATAACCATTTATAAAGTCGCGAAAGTGGAAACCTTCGCCAGATCGTTGTCCCCATAATTCAAATGGTTTTTTTGTTACTAACTACGCGAAATCTCAGATATTCGCATCCTTAATGAATGTCTGATACGGTCTGATATTTAATACAAATAAAAAGTCTATTTGATCCTCCGTGGCTGTACGTAAAGTATAGATTTCATAAAGCGATAAGATACAATTTGCAAGCACTAACACGGAGGCTCACATAGGCATTTTATTTGTATTGAATTTATTCTTAGAGCCACAATTATTATTATAACTTACTTTAGCCTCGTCGTTGTCTTTGAATTAGAAACTCGGAGAGCAACGATCGGCAGAGCCAATGGCGCATAGAATTTCCGCCGCTCGCGCTTTCCGTCCGATATGCCGTAACGGTTTCTTGAATTTATTCAGTCGCGAATTTGCGTAATTTTTTTATCGAGCAAAGAGAAAAATTCCGATCAACATAAACTGATCATAAACTGAGAGAGAAGGCATTTGTTTTCAGAGGAATAAGGGACTTGAAGAATCACACATTGGAAATGTGTGAATTGAAGAGAACTCTGGATAACGAGATGAAACTGCAGGAATTTCTTGGTGTGAAAGGACAGTTCCGCGAGATGGTCGATCTGAATGCGAAGAGGGAAGCCGAGCGACAAGCTAAACGGGAAGAGAAACAGAATAAAATAGCGGCCTTCACGCAAATCTTGCAGACGATCAAGCAATTCACTGGTACCGTAAACCGGCTCTTACTTACAATTAGAATAATCAGGCAATCTGATTTTCAAGAATGAGTTCTCTCTTTGTAAAGTGTTCTCGGATTTTCTCACGGAACTCTTAAACTTGCCCTAGTTTTCTAAGTGTTTTACAATTGAAGACGTAGGTGTATGTCAATCTAGTATTACTAATTATAAGATGAAATTTATTAAAGCCCAAAGAGAAAGAAGAGAGAGCTAATTAAGAGTTCAAATCAACATGAAATTTTTAGAATGAACTTTAAAGTTTAATCCTTAGATTAAAATTATCAGTAATAGCGGGTTAATACTTACACAATATCCAAACTTTATATTTAATAACTTGTATTATTGATCTAAAATCTTGATTCCAATTAATGCGGCAAAAATAAACAGGAGAGCAAGAAATCGACAAGCTTACTGCGCACTTCATCAAGCAAGAAGAAGAGAATTTCGCACTCTTTAGTTATGTGAACGAGCTGAACGACGAACTAGAGAGTCTTCAGACGAGGATGGAACAGTTGACAGTAGCTATCGATGAGGCACGTGCTTTAAATGTTCATCGCGATCAAGAGCAAGCTGAGAACTTGGAGAAAATCACCAAGGAATTGGAAGAACAAATAGCACTAGCGGACACTGCTGAAAATAATCTTGCTAAGGTTAAAAGAGAAAATTATTCGGAACTTGCTGGAAATTTCGTGCTAGGATTATTTTCTTGAAACTTGAATTTAAAACGAAAAACATTATCGTTCGCTTAAATTTATAATGTCAAAATGTTCAATTAGAGTTATTTTTAATCATTTCTATAAGTCGCCTGTTTCTACTCAATATGACGTTAATTTAACTAAAACAATAAAGTTAAATGGTTTAATTCAGAAACATTATTAAATTTGACTCAAATTTAGTTTAAATATTATTTACTAATGTAAGTGTTAATATGGATGCTTTGAAACTAATAATGAATTGCTTTGTATTTTGACATACGTTGAAATTAAAAGTAACAAATGTTATTTGAGTAAGAATTGGATTACTCTTTTGATATCTGTCAATGTTGATTAATAACAAAATGTCCTGAAATCGTCATTAGCAAATTAACTCCGCACTTTTCAAGGATTATTTTGTCATTCTTGAGCTTATTTTGTTACCCTTGATCCTAATAAAACGAATTTTGATATCCGCATGACGACTCGGTAAACTGCAGTCCGAATGAATAATAAACGATTACTCATGTTTCATTCCAGTGCAACAACGTAATGGACAAGCTGCTGCAAGGAATCGACAGCCTCTTCAAGGCGATACGCTGCGACAATTCACCGATTTTAGAATTATTGGGCGACAATACTCACGTTACCATGAGCAACGTCATGCTCTACTTGGGTATTATCGAGAAACGAATCACCGAGATGTTCCACAAGGTCTATTGGGTAGACAAGGAAAGCAAAGTTCCACAATTGCGGCTGGATGAGGAGAAGAGACCCAAGCTGGAAGTGCCCGTTCTCAATCGTATCGTACCCACCCAACCTTGTGTCCTGTGAGTCTTATTTATACCTTCTCACGTTCCTTTATCCTATCCTTGAACCCGTCCTTCTGATCTATCGAGTATTCTCCATTTTCCAATATTTCGAACGTTTAATCCTGAATGTGATAATCTAATTTCCGTTTGATACTTAAAATAGATCAGTTCTTTTCCTATCAAAACACGAATTAGATAGACACTTACAATACATACAAGTAATAATATTTAATCAGTGTATATATCTAATCAGTATGACAATTAGGAAAAGATTTTATTAGCTGATTATAATCGTTAAACACACGTCGAGGATATCCGGACCGTGTGTCAACTTTCATCTGACTACTTTAACGTCCTCAAATGCAGCTGCGTGGAACAAGAACATATGCAGTTCGTCTCAGAGGGTCTAGAGGTACCACTGACACGTGCCGAAGCCATGCAGAAGCTGCAAGAACGGCTCATGGAGGATTACACAGAGCTGCTTCACAACGTGTCTGGCTGTCACTTACCGGCAGCTAGGAAGATTATTCAAAGACGTTATCAATAAACGGAATTAACGATGGCACATTTTTTTCGTGGATTTGCGACGTGGATTTTGCTAGGATTCTAACAACGTTCGCGTGAAGCTTACAAGAATTCAGCCAATGAGGGAATCGCCAGATTGTTGCAAACGCAATAGCGACACAAAGAAAATAATAATTTTACGAATTGATTTTTGTGAATTGTATTTATTTATTTTAATTAATTTTACTTTCAAATATATATATATATATATATTTAAAAAAAAACATTCGTTTTTTTTCTATGGTGATACAATTTGAAATTTTTCGTTATTAAACAGCAGTGTTTCATTCATTCGCTAGCTTTACTACCGCTAGTTTTACCGCAGAATCACAATCAGTCGCGGTAATGAGATGATAGATACCTCTATTCATGCAGCGAACCTTTCTCTTTTCGTACCTTCTTCTTGATAGTCTTGATAATTCGCTTCAATTCAAGGATAGTACGCTTAATGTGAATCAGCTGTTGTTCGACGTCCTCGCTGCTCACCTTGACGGGTATCTCTTTCCTCTTGCAAATCTGCTGATAGATGTTCCAACAGCATGCCTTCACTTGCGTAAGCTCCAAATTCTTCGTCGCGGCGGTTTCCTTTATTTTCGAAATGATCATCTCCCATCTCAAAGCCTCCACTTTCGCTCGATCATATCTTTCTTGCAATTGCGCCACTTTATTATTCAGTCCCATCAATACTTGCGTCTTGGTTTCTGTCAAATGGTGCTGCATGTATAAAGAAAATTATCTCTATAACTCTTGACTTTTCAATTCTTTTTTTTTCTATTGAAAGGAAAGATGGCAAGAGAAAATATACCGTTTGAAAACGAATATATTTGAAAGCTAAGAGATATTAAATTCATAAAAGAGATTTATACGAGAAAAATTCGAGTAAAAATCGTACAAAGAAAAGAATAGCAGATGTAAACATATATGGGTAAGAACACGTGATAAAATAAAACATAGAGATATTTCAGTAAAAGATATATGAAAAAAAGTACTGTTTTGAATTTGCGAAAATTGATAGAGCACGTTATTGCGATATAGTACGTGTTAATTATATTTAGGATCTGCGGACAATAGAAGAAATATTACAAGAATAAGAATTATAAAATATTAGAAAGATAAAAAATTAGAAATAAAAATTAAACGTATCGCACAATAAATATAAATAAATTTATTTATATCTGCTGTTGTTACATTTAATCTTTATTTCTAATTATTTTATTTCTCTAATATTTAATATTTATTCCTGTTCCTAATATAATTATGCCTCATATTTTATTTATATCTATTGTGTGTTAAGTTTAATCTCTATTTTTAATTTTTTAATTTTTCTAAATTTAATATTTATTTTGTTTCTAATATATTTCTTCCATTGTGAGCAGAATCTTAATGCAAAAATAAAGCGATTAAATTAAATAATTTATAATAGAATAATGTATATGTGCGAATTTATAAGATCATGATGAGACATATAAGACAGATGATTATTCGAACAATACTATTTTTGTTCCTTTTTCTTCTAGCATCTGAAGGTTTTTATCTTGTTGATCAGACAATGTCTGCCTAGTCTCGACTAAAGTTTCGTAGCGATTAAAAATTTCATTAATCGATTGAAACTCGCCCGTCTCGTTCACGACCTTGTCCAAGTAATTTTGGTACTTCCTGTATTCCCCTACGAATCGCTGCATTTTATCACGTACGCCTATCATATACTGCAATTTCTGCTCCAATTCCTCGATCTAATAAAAAAAAAAAATATCAGTTACAACCGATATATGAAATTCTTCTTGATTTTAATTAAGTTTAATTAAGTAAATTGTAAGTCGCTCGATTGAAATTAAGATCACGAGGTCCTTTTCGGAGTTTTCTTTCCTTAACTGCGTACTTCTTGCTTGTATTTTTCCTGACGCTCATGCTCCTCCTTGATTTTTTGCTCAGCTCGCTCGCACTTCTCGATGTTCTGCCTTACGAGCGTATTAAATTTTATGAGAGACTGTCGCAATTGCAATTGCTGCTCTCTCGCCTCCTCCCATTGCTCATCCATATATTTACGTCTTATTTTCTGTTCCTCTCGTTTCTCCTTTAATATTTCATTAATTTCAGCTAATTCTTGACGAATCCTGATCACCTCGGTTGCCGGACAAACCCTCGCTTTGTCCCATTCTGGATATTTTCTAATATTGTTATACATAATGACAAGAATGTAACTTATAAATATAATAAATAACAAAATATAACAAATTAAATTTATTTTAAAATTTATTAAAAATATAATTGTTTTTGTTATTAATAAAATTAACATGAGAATTGATAATTTTATTGTACTGTCCGCGCGCGCTTCGTATTCTTATCGATTGTTATGTGATACAGTAGATTGTCTATTTTTACATTCCTTATATATCTTCGAACTATTTTATTATGCCTACCAATTATTGATAAACGCATGGTCTTTTGATAAAGAATAATTAAAAATATCTTATTACAACATTTATAACTATTTGTTAATTACTTGATAGACTGACGTTCCTCTTGCTTAGATATAAAGTACTCCAAAACTGCTTTCTGCGAATCGGTCGGGATAACAGTTCTTTGCACGAGATTTCTCGACTTATCTTGCGCCATAGCCATTTCTTTTTCTTTTCAAAACGTTTCTTTATTAACAATTCAATAAATGTGTCAATACGAGAGTGTCTGTAGGCTTTTAAAAAAATGACGTGAAAGAAAGCACATGTTTGCTATGTACGATTGATCGATCAAACAAATTGAATGCAGTCGCGTACACGTAGGCGCAAGAAAGAGACAAGAAACACGTGGTATAGACAGTGTAGACACGTAGTGGAAGGGAAAGTCGATGGCAGGAGAGGCATTGTTGAAAATAACGAACCAGATTTTATTTATATCGTACACTTTATACAAGAGCTAACAACGACCTTATTAAAAAAAAAAATGCATAGTTATTAGATATCACGCGGATGAAAGAGAGAGATGAACGGAAGGGGGGTTGGCGAGAATGATCAAAGCGTATTCGTTCATGAGTGGACTTCCTGGCCGAGCAGAGAAAGTTGCTTGAGCAATTGCTTAGCGTTGTTGAAGGTCGTGGAGCCGTAGATCACTCGTTTATTCACCCCAGCTCCGCTTCGTTGCTTCACATAGTCCACCAGATTCTGGTACTCTATGTAATTGCCGCCGCCAACTACAAAGACTATCACATCCTGGAACGTCGGCCGATTCTTCGGCATCTGTTCGGTGTGCTTGAGTTGCTTCGGATCCAGATAGAGGTAATCCTCGGTACGCGAGGACTGCTTAGATTCCATCAGTTCATCCACTATCTTGGTGACTGGTAGATTATGCTTTTTTACTACCAGATTCTTCACGCCCTCCATGACGAATGATGAGCCTTGATTCATCAGTTTGGAGAACATACTGACTGTCTTGGTACCGCCGCCTTCGTAACTACTCTGGATCTCGGCTATCCTAGTGTAATTGCGTAACCGCTTTATATATATCAGTGGATTCAGATCGCAGCCGGCTGCGGTTAGTGCCGTCTCCAATTTATTGTAATCCGCGTCGGACATATTCGTGCAAATAAAATAAATAATAGCAAGACGTAGTTTATCTTCAGGAGTGCCGCAATCTGGATCGCCGATGGTCTCCAATACGCTCCGATCCAACGTTTGCTTACTCATAATTTTTTCCTCCAGTTCGAAGAACGTATCGAGTCGTCTAGACTTGATAGCGTTCAGAATACCTGTGGCTACTGAAGTGTGCATATCGATCAGCCGTTTCATCTCTAGGAGTTGCGGCAACGAATTCACGGCGCTCGTCAAACGCGCTGTGTTATTGGATACCATAGACAACGCTACCTCGCTGTCATTGTCAATGCCCATAGAGAATTTGAGTTTCTTCACGTCCTCCTCGAAAGTACGGTACTGCTCCAGCTCCTCCTGTATGGCCTCTGCCACTCTGGGGAACGGACTACCTTTGTGCTGGCACCAGAAGCGATCCCGGTTGTCCAGTTCGTAAGCGCGTGTCTTGGAGCGTGTCCCACCAGTGGGAGATCGTCCTACATTCTCCTCTACAACAAGCCTATTCAATGCCATTTCCAGAACATCATGTGCCAGTGCCTGGTACGTCCACGTGTGATGCAATGGAGTAGCCATATCAACGTTACGGTCCAGCACAATGAGCAGAGGCCTCTGAAAACTGTAATGACCAGTTGCAGATGCTTCACCCTCGAACAGATTGTTCCTCGCATCCCATACGTTCTCTCGCAGTTTCTTATCGATCATCTTGGCAACCATCTCAGCAGCATTACCCCTGGGACATCTTATGATCGGCACGGTGCCCAAAGTGACAAATACTGAAAACAAACAGTCTACAATAATATCCATTACAGACTCCATTTCGCTGTCTTTGACATCACCACGGTTGATCGCATGATAGGATATCACATCGCTGTTCTGATGTCGCAGGACAAACAGATCATCCTCCAGAGTAATAAAGTTCAGGTACTGATCGAACACCTTGTGAATGCTGGCGACGACACCACCGAGCAACGCCGCAGTCGCCAGATCTTCCATCCTCTGCCGGCTAATTGGCGAAATGAAATTCAGATGATAGATATCATACAGGCCGTTCTGCAGATCCTGGCCGATCCTGCCAAGATTCTCGTCCGTGGGCGCGCAGAAATAGATCGCCGGTACCTCGGGGATAGAGTCACGGTCCGAATGCAACTGCATGTGTAACGTGATGCCAAGCTCGCGCAGCTCCTTGACAGAGATCAACGGCGATATGATGTCCTGGCCAAGGCGATCGTAAACGAGAATCTTCCACGTGGGCACCGCGCTTTCGAGCCCCGGCTCGGGCAAATTCAGATTCAGCATCTGCTTCAGAGCGTTTATTTGACGATCGCGTAGGCTCATCTTGGCGGGCCTATCGAGGAACTTAACCTCGCACGCGATACCCGGGTACTCGTACTCGATCGAGAAC